GAAATCTGTGCCTTTTGCAGTGTCAATGATTTGGAGAGAGCCAACAGATCATACCAGCAATTGTTACTTCTGCATGGTGCCTCCAGTTGGGAAAGGTGTGTCAAAGAAGAAAAAGTGGACTGTGCATTATCCAAACATTCCATCAGCTATACGCCCAGTACCCCACGGAGAAGGACTGCCGGTTCCTGATGCACCAGAATCATTCTCACTTGAGTCAGATGAGGAAGAGGAAGAGGATGAAACTTCTGGTCCTGAACCATCAATGTCACAGGACCCACATTTTCTCCCATCCTCCTCCTCTGAACCACACCTCATAACACAAGGTGAACTGAATGACCTTGTCAGGGATTTGGAACTACCCAAGAGTAAGGCAGAGCTGTTGGGCTCCAGACTACAGCAGTGGAATCTCCTGGCAGGTGATGTTAGGGTTTCCATGTTCCGTGACCGTCAAAAGGATCTTGTCCCATTCTTCTTCATGGAAGGTGATCTCGTAGCCTGCAACAACATCGATGGTGTGATGGCAGCCCTCAACATCGTTCATGATCCAGATGAGTGGAGACTGTTCATTGATTCATCGAAGACGAGTCTTAAAGCTGTTTTACTGCATAATGGCAATGTTTTGCCATCAATTCCATTTGGTCATGCAGTCCATATGAAGGAAACCTATGACAACATGAAACAACTTTTGAGGTGCATAAACTATGACCAACATCAGTGGCAGCTTTGTGGCGATTTGAAGGTTGTTGCTCTCTTGCTTGGTCTGCAGACTGGATACACAAAGTACTGCTGTTTTCTCTGTGAATGGGATAGCCATGCAAGAGATTCCCACTACATCAAGAAAGATTGGCCACTCTGACAGTCATTGGAGCCTGGGAGGAAAAGTGTTCAGCATCCACCACTTGTTGAATCAAGGAAGATGTTGTTACCACCCTTACACATCAAGCTGGGTCTGATGAAGAACTTTGTCAAGGTCATTGACAAAACACAAGCAGCTTTCAAGTACCTGCGTGGAAAATTTCCAAGGTTAAGTGAAGCTAAGATAAAGGAAGGTGTCTTTGTTGGTCCTCAGATTCGTGAACTTCTTCGAGATGATGCATTTGACCATGCACTGCATGGCAAGGAAAAGACGGCATGGAAAGCCTTCCAGTTAGTGGCAATACATTTTCTCGGAAACAACAAGGCAGACAACTACAGGTTGTTGGTGGAAAACCTCCTCAAGGCATACAAAAGCCTTGGTTGCAACATGTCACTAAAGATACATTTTTTGCACTCTCATCTAGATTTTTTTCCACCGAACTGTGGAGCAGTGAGCGACGAGCACGGCGAGCGATTTCACCAGGACATTGCAACAATGGAGAAACGCTATCAGGGCAAATGGAGCCCATCAATGCTTGCAGACTATTGCTGGACAGTGACAAGAGATGCTCCATTTAATGAATACAAGAGACAAGCCAAGAAGCACCGAGTAGACACTGAATAGGACTAAACTATGTACATAATAGTTTTTTGCCTTTTGTTTCATAATAAATTTTATTTATATAACCCTTTTGCTGATTTGTAAAGTGTTACATAAACAGGACAGGTGAAATATTATCATGTAAAGTAACCATAAACACATGAAAAGACCTAAGTTTACAATTTATGATTAAAACTCTACTATCTACACAATATACATAGACATAAAATGTAAAAACTTAAATATCTTAGAAACAGTAGCCAATCAGTTGTTTTAATTGTCATATTTGAATTCAGCACATCAAAATACATAATAAATAGCACATTTTATCTCTGAAGCAGACGACTTCTCAAAAATTGTAGACCAGTGTAATTTTAGTTGCCCTTCTCTGAACCTTTTCTAATGCCAGTGAGCAACTGGGAGACACCTCCGTGTATTACTGTGCCAGAGACACACAGTGAGGGAAAACCTATTAGACGAGCCCTAACACTAACCTTGTGAAGAACCAGCCTCCCTGACCAGGTGTGAGTCGCAGAGAGCAGCAGCTGTTGCCACCAGTTAATTAAACAACATGTGCACAAACTTCTTAGGACACCAAAAATTCAATCCTGTTCTTAAAAGAGGTACATTTTATTAAAAACAAAAAGGAAGAAAATACGTCTGTAACTTAGGCTTTTGATAGATTTTAAAAGAGCCATTCCAAAAATTAAGTAGCAAGAATAGCTTTCTTGGGGTCCAGCTTAAAAGTTACAGGCAAACAAAAGCACCTGGGGGTTAGCACAGTGGAGATCCACAAGCCAAACTAAAGAAATAAACCTGATCACATCTATTTAAACATTCCCTGTCCCAATGATTCTTTCTAGGTCTGGAAGATGAATTTTCATAACTGGGTCAAGCCTGACACAGCATCCCTGCTTATAGCATTGCTGCTCCCTGTCTCCTTCTCCGGAGAACAACAGACACAGGGCAAGTTTCTTTCCTATTTTTTAAAAAGTTCTACCTTTCCCTTGGCTCTTTTGGTCAGGTGCCCACTTCCTTTTCTTTACCTGGGGGGCTTTTTAACCCTTTACAGGTAAAGCAAGCAGAGAGGAGTTACCAAGAGGGATTTTACGGCTAGATGGCTGGCTGGGTGTCCATAAAAGGGAGCCCCCCCCTTCATTTATCACACACCTCAAATACCTTGAGCGACCCTAAAACTGACCTGCACCATGTCCGGATTCTCTATCACTAACTACACGGTGTAGTGGGTTTGCCAGCCAGCGGGGAAAGGGCTGCAATGGGTAGGAGAAATCTGGTCCAATAGAGGCACTGCTTACAGCAATGTGCTCAAAAATCGCCTCCCCATCACCAGAGACACCTCCAAAAGCCAAGTGTACCTGCAACTGACCCACCTGCAACCCGGAGACACCTCAGTGTATTACTGTGCCAAATACACACAATGAGGGGGAACCTATCAGAGCTAGCATTAAAACTAACCTTGCGGAGAACCAGCCTTCCAGGGTGAGTGGCAGAGAACCTGCACCCCTATGCCCTATACCACCCTCACTCCATATACCTGCACTTCCCACATTACTCCTGGGGGAATTCATGTCCCCTGCAGATTTCTTTGCTTCCCTGCAGAAAAATGACTTTCTGACAGGGAAGCAAAGGGAAGCTGCAAGAGAAGTCATGTACCACTCCCTAGCAGTGCGAGTACATCATCTCAGGCAACTGGCGGAAACGTAAATCACCATGGGGCTGGGGACACCCCAGCCAGTGGCTCCTAACTGGCTGCTACTCCCGTCTAGGATGGAGGCAGTAGAGGATGGGACTTCCTCTTCCCCTGCACGGAGTGGCTGGGGCTGTGTCAGTCCCACCCCTAGAAACCTCCACCATCTGCAGGAAGCTCAGCTGCCTCCCCGGCTTCCTGCCCACATCGCTCCTCAGATTGGGGGGAGGGGTCACTGTATAGGGAGCTGCTCCCTCATCCACCCAACCCCTGTGCCTCTGGACTTCCCATACACAGACACCCCTGCCAAGCCTCACTCGGTACATCCACAAACCCCCTAGCTTTACATACTCAAACTCCACCCTACTGAACCTCAACCCCTGCATCTGGAGCCCCCCTGCACCCAGACCCCCTGCTTCCGGACTACGACCCCTGCACCCAGGCCATGCCCCAGTGAGCTCCCTGCACTCAAACCTCCATCTTGATGCCCCACCCCCTGCCCCACCCTGAGTCCCCACATCCAGACCCCGACACCACTGACCCCCAATTACCTGCACCCAGACTCCCACCCCACGAAGACCCACTCCAGCACCTTCACCTTGAAGCCCCTGCAGAATCCCAATGCCCCTGCACCTGGGACTCCTCCCCACCCCCCAATGAACCTCTGTGAATCCAGATCCCCCCCACACCTAGACCCCCCCTACTGAGCTGCCTGCACCTACATTGTCTCACACAACACCCTCTCACCCCACACCTAGATCCCCCCACACTATGCCCCTTCACACTTGGATCCTGCCTGGTTGAGCCTGCCTGCCCCACACCTGGTGCATCTGGCTCAGAGGGGCAGGACCCCAGGGCAAGCCCAGGCCTTGTGCTTTGTCAAGGTCGGGTGCAGCCTCACTGCTGAGTCCATGGGTGTGGGGTGGGGAGGCTGCAGGGTGATCTCCCACCTTCGTGCAGCCAGAGGCCTGTGCTCCCCACTGCCATGCTGGAGTAGCAGTAGCTGTCAGCACCGCGTTCTCTGTGCTTGGCTACCTGGTCACTTCTTGCAGATTCCATGGCAAGTTACCAGCACTTGGGAACTAAGCCCTGCATCTCCCAAAGTCAACTGAAAACGTCTTTCTGACCAATGAGTAAATTTGCCTATTAAAAATAGGTTACGAATAAAAGGTTAAGTTACAAGTAGAAATAAAGCTGTCCTCAGAATGGAAGAAAGCAACTAATGAATTTCTTTCTCCCCCCACCCCCATTTCCTCTTCTTTCTCTCTCTCTTTATCTCTTTCTTTCTTTCCCAACATTGTTTACGAAGGAGGATGTTGTGTTCTCCTTTCGAAAAAATGGGCCTTTCCCCCATCTACATATATATGTTCTCTCAAAGATATGCAAAACTCCCCAGTCTTATTTGCTATTTAAAAACGCAATGGTCCAGAGAAGCTTGTTCATTCAATTTGCCAGCGACCTGCTGAATTCACCTTCTAACCAATCCTATGGCTGTGACCTCACCTGTTTGTAGCTTCATTTTCCTGAGCGGGCTTTCATGTTAGTTAATGATTTATGAATAATTGTGTATATACCATTATAACTCTGGTCAGAAGCTACAGGGGTGAAGGGACAGATTAGAGGGAGAGGGAGAGATAGACACAGAGAAAGATATCCAAGCAGCATACATACAGAGGGCAGGATGGTGTGATGGATATTGCAGAAAGAATAGATAGCCAGAGTGCAGAGAGGAGGTAGAATGGGTGGATGGACAGAAGGATGGGCAGCTCTTGCTAGTGCATGGACAGAGGAGTATTGTTAAAACTATATTTTCAAATTTCTCTTTTTCTTTGTCAGGTGTTCTCTCCGAGGTTGTCCTGACCCAATCAGGTCCGGAAGTGAGGAAGCCAGGAGAGTCCACTATTCTGAAATGTGCTGTGACGGGGGCTGATCACAGCACATCTATCATGACTTGGATGAGACAGGCTCCGGGGAAGGGACTGGAGTGGCTGGTTTACTACTATTCCCAGGCCAGCATCTTCTACTCGCCTGCCATGCAGGGGCGATTCACCGCTTCCATGGACAGCTCCAGCCTCTATCTGCAGATGTACAGCCTGAAAGAGGAAGACACCGCTGTGTATTACTGAGTGAGACTAGGCGTGTCCACAGTGCTCCAGCCCCTTACAAATACCCTGCGGCACAAAAGCAGCTCCCTAAGCAAGGCCACTGTATTATCCTCCTTTAGTCCCCCCATCCCGTCACCTGTGCCATCAGCTCACCTAGAACACAATGGTTTGGCAGGCGGTGCGCTGTGAGCTCTGCTAATCGCAGTCTCTCTGATGGTCTCCTTGTTCCCTTGTGCTGCCCAATCTGCTTGTTGGCCCCACCTGATGCCTCTGGTCATAAATGCAGACTGGACTCCTTTAGGGGCAGGGACTGTCTTTTTTGTTATAGAATCCTACAGTGCCTGGAACAGCGAGGCCCCAGTTAAGTGTGATGTTAATAAAAATCACCTAAGTGACTCAGGAGCACAAGTGAAATTGAAGGTCAGTGGGACTTGCGTTCCTAAGTCACTCTGGCAAGGCTTAAAAAAGGAGAAGGAGAAGTTACCCCAAACTTCTGTGGTGAGTTACAAACACTTCCCTGTTCTTCATAATTATGGGGACCAAAGATTAATTAAAATAGCAACGATTATGGTTATGGCGGGGCCCAAAATCAACCACTCACTTTCCAGACCTTCACCAAGGGACAGAGGCACAATGTATGGACAGACAGAGAAGCATGCAGAGGTACTCCGGGTAAGGGAAGGCACCGCCTTGTCAGACAGCAGAAACCTACTGCGGTTAGCACAAAAACCTCCTATGCCCTTCTCCATTCGGCTCATTGCCATCAGTCTCAGCATTAATGAGCTGTTTTGACAGAGAGGAGCATAGATTGTAAAGTCTCCAGTCCTTTGTCCTTTCCAAATACACATTGATCATGAAACACCCACTATGCTGACAGAGCAGAGATCGCTTTATGCATTGACCAACAATGCAGAAATATAATCTACCTCGAGAGTGGCATCACAGGCTTTTCAAACCATAACCAATGAAATAAGAAAAGGGAAGAGAGGAGATTTTGTCATCAAGGATCATGGTGTAGCCTGTCCTTGAATTTTGCACATCTCTTCTTGCACACCCCTCTTCCGGCTCCTCCAGAACCTCTTATTGAGGGTCTGGCTGCACTTTTCCCCACACTTGTTTATTTAGGCCCACCTGATCCAAGGCCCTACGAAGTTTCAGGACCACCTCATCAACCTCCTCCTGGCCAGGGCCAAGGTGGCCATTCGTAACACCTGGGAGACGAGGATGGCGGGGAGGGCTCTGCGACTGTGGGGCTGTCTTTCGTTCTTTTATCTGCTCACGTATCTGGGCAGAGATCCTCTGGGCAGCGTCCGCCAGCTCTCCCGCTGCCTTTGAGGAGCACTGGGTGCTGACCAGGGTTCTCTGCTCGGTGTCCCCTTCTGGTCCCCTAGTTTTGACCCTTTGACCCCCATGCCAGTTCCCGTTATTGCCTTTGTTGTCCCCTGACCTTGGTGGGTTCTCGGTTCAGTAGCTCCTCCCTAGGCTGGGGGAGGGGCTTTTCGCAGTGGGCGAGCTAGCGTCCGCCCACGTCCCGGCGCTCAAAAGGACACAGGCCTGGAGTGGGTCACAAATATAAGCTAGTGGGCCGGCAGTAATGTACGTTACACCAACTAGGTCCAAGGCCGATTCACCATCTCCAGAGACAAACCCAACAACCTGCTGTATCTGTCAATGACCGGCCTGAAGCCCGAGGACACCGCCCGGTATTACTTTGCGGGACACACAGTGAGGGGAAGCCGGGCTGAGCTCAGACAAAAACCTGCCCTCGCTGGCTAAGGACAAATGCTCCGCTGGAGGCTGGAGTTCTACAGCTCACAGCGGAGAGACAGTGAGCGGGACGACTCCTGTCTTCAGCTTCCATCCTGTGTCTCTCTCTCTCATGCACACACACACACACACACACACACACACACACACACACACACACACACACACACACACACACACACACACACAGATGCACACAGACTAACCGCACTGTTAGAAGAGGTCAACCCACAACACTCCCTTTCCCCCCAACACAGTCTGTGCCCCTCACTCCACTGCTCCCCACCTTTCCTCACCCCCTTCCACCTCCCAATAGCCCAGGCAGATAGAACTGACATGAACAACCCCAACAACCCGCTGTATCTGCACCTGAGCGTGTTGAAATCCGAGGACACTGCCCGGTATCACTGCGCTAGGCACTCAGTGAGCAGAAAGCTGTTAAGCACAGAACAAAAACAGAGCTGAAATAGTAACAACTTTACCAACACGCTGCAGAGGGCAGCAGTGAATGACAGTTCAATACTGCTCTAGCAAATTATTTCCAGGATAAGTATTAAGGGCGTGTTGGTGCACATATCAGCAGGTAAACATGTAGGGATTTCTATCTGTTTTAGTGATATGAGATAAATATTCTTTCAGGTCTTGTACAGTCAATAACACTACTGAGAATAAAGTGCAAAGTTCAATCAGGGACACTAAGAATTGTGCTTAAAGTTAAAGTAGTGTCCTGAATAGAGATGGGTTTAAGCAAATTCGTACATGCTTTCATGAATCAAGGCCTAAGAAATTGTACTAGGGTCTCCCTGAAATCATTTGCATCCTTGAAAATCATCCACAAACCTGCCATCTCCCTTAAGTGATTTGGAATAGCTCAACCCTGCACTGCTGTGGGATTTTACATAACAGTCTTTGCAACAGATTTCCCACACTTAAATATTGCTGAGCTGTGCGTCTGAGCGCACTGTATCTTACCTGAGAAAGAACAGGCCCTCCACCAACTAGAGTGTGAGACTGGGATTTTCAATGGCACCCAACGTTGTGAGGTTTCCAGCTCCCAGGGGATTGGAGTATTTGCATTAAGACCCTTTAAAAACTCCACCCTGTTGCATAAACACAGTGGCAAGGCAGAGCTGTTAAGGTCTCTGTATTGTTAATTTTATCCATCAGTTCCATAGAAACGTTAGCTTGACATTTTTCTCTGTATTGTTGCCTATTTATAGTGGGTGCTGAAAAGAATCTGAACGGTAATACTAAGAGAAAGAAGAGTGATACAACACTTCTATGCAACTGAACTGTTTGATTCATACCATTAGCCCCACTCAAAGCCATGCAAGTACTGTTCTCTCAATGACAGTTGCACAGGCCTACAAACACCTGCAGGGTTATAATCCTAACCTGTAGATAGATTCTTTCAGGTGCCGACTGTCCATTGTTACTGTATGACTTAGCAGAATTCAGTTCTTCGGACTTCTGGGCTAAAACATTCAAAGCAGGCTAGGTGGGGATCCACACCCGACTCCCATTCGTGTTAAGGTGCTAATCTAATAATAATTCTGTCTTGTCATCCAGCATTGCAAGGAAGAATTTCAAACATAGGTGCTGGACCTAGGGACGCTGGCTTGAAGGTGATTCCTTTATATACAGAGTTTACAGTCTGGTTCAGTATCTCAGCACCCTCACTATAAAAATTGTTCCAGCCCCCCTGGGTTCAAATGCTTGCCTCCTTCTTCTCATAGAAGAAGAAAAGGACATTTTCAGTCATTAGTAATAGCACCAATCCCTAGCATGTTATCAAAGCGATTTTCAGCAGATCTCAGAGCTCTTCACAAAGGAAGGTTAGTTGAACCTAAAAGGTTATTCCAATTTTACAGAGAGAAATGACTTATCCAAGGCAACCCAGCAGACCAAGGAATGAATACCCGGTTTCCCATGGCCCAGTCTAGTGCTCAATGCACTGGGACACACAGTGGCAAGGAACTCACAAACCAAGAACAGACATAGCTCAGCGGCTGGTGAACAATCATTGGTGCATTTTGTCTATGAGAGGCCCCGAGCATTCTTGTAGAGATGACTGCAGAAGTGATCCTATAAGAGAGACTCTAGCTCCTCTTCTCCAACCAAGTATCTTTCTTCCTCTGAACTTGACTCAGGAAGGCCTCAGTTTAATGAGGTTGCGGTTTCTGGTGTGGTTTTTTTAAAGAGGACGTGATGCAAATTCAGTGTCTCGGGGTCCTGCATAAATCCTGTGTTCTCCTGGACGGCAGAGTGTGAAAAGGAAGCAGGCCAAGGTCCTGGTGTCTTTGCAGTTACCGTCAGAAACCCCTCCCGCATCAGCAACATGATATCGTGGCTGAATCTTCTCTTTATTCTAGCGGCCCTTGCAGGTAATTCTCCCCTCTCCCACCCCCAACTTCAGTGGGAGACTCCAGGGAAGAGTTGTACGTTCTTCCCCAACCCAAAGCGCAGTGAAGTGAATGGGCATCTTCCCAATGGCTTGTATGAGCTTTGGCTGAGGTCTTGTATTAATGTGATTCTAAAGTAGCTTTTTCTTCTTCTTCCCCCCCCAGATGTCCGGTCCCAGGTTCTTTTGGTGGAGTCCGGAGGTGGAATTCAAAAGCCCGGGGGATCTCTCCGCCTCTCCTGCAAAGCCTCCGGCTTCACCTTCAGCAGCTACTTCATGGGCTGGGTCCGTCAGGCGCCCGGGAAGGGCCTGGAGTGGGTCTCACTGATATACAACCCTGCTAATAGCCTCAGTACATTTTACAGTGATGCGGTTAAAGGGCGATTCACCATCTCCAGAGACGAATCCAGCAGCACGGTGTATCTGCAGATGAACAGCCTGAAAGCGGAAGACACCGCCCGGTATTACTGTGCGAGAGACACAGTGATCAGAATTCAACTGAAGTAAATACAAAAACCTGTTCCTCAAATCCAAACAGCTCTCAGAGCCAGCAGAGAGCAGCAGGCACTGACACAGCTGAGCAGTTTAGACACAGATACATAGATTGTAAAGTCTCCAGCCTTTAATCGGGGCTTCCGTCCTCTGAAAACGCACATTGGCAATTAAAGACTCACTATGTTGAGGGAATAGAGAGTATCTCATTCAGTGGACAGCAATGCAGAAATAGAATCCGCCTCAGTAGCTATTGATCATTAGCTTTCTTCCCTTCACCTGCCTTGTAAACATGAACTACGAGGAAGAAATGCCAGAGACATTATTTAAAGAGTCTGTTTGCCAGAAGCTGGGAATGGGC